CTACAGGCAGGGGAAGTGACTCCCTCAGGGAGAGCTCTGTTTCATTTAAGGCAGGGAGGTGTGTCCATGAAAAATTATGAAGTAGACAAGCCAGGAGTAGAAGATAACAGTGTGAGAGATCAAGGGTTGGAGAGCGTGGGGTGTTAGGTATTTTTGGCTATAATTAAGTCAAGTACGTGGAACTGGCTGACCTCAACATTCAATCCACTAAAAAGGTACCCATTTAGGCAACATTTTGCTTACTCATTTGAATGTAAAAGGCTTAAATTTCCTTAAAATTTTTCCTTTATTTCAAAAAAAAAAATTTTTTTACTTAAGACCTTCTTCCTCTACCACTGAAATTTTCCTGTTTCCAATTTTTTTAAAACACCTGTTTCTAAGTTAAAAAAAGAAAAACCAGACCACACTAATACTAAAATACCAAGCAGAGTTCTAAATGTGTTTTGTAATATTCTACTTCCCAGTATTAAGATAAACAACAGACTAAGAAGGTAGAGTGAAACAACCGGTACCATCAGAGAAACAAAATCTACACAGAAAAGAACATTTCAAAGCAACGTGAGTAGCAAGCAGCTTTAAGGTGAATTTTCTGAAAGTTTAGACACTGTTAAAAGAAAGTATCTCCTCAGAGAAATAGAATTCAGTTTAAGACAGGGGAGATTCAAACTTTTGTAAAGACAGGCTACCTATCACACCCTATTCCTGACCAAGATATATAAACAAATAGTATGTTTTTATCATTTGTAAAAGCACACAGACACACAGATCTCAATGAGGAATTATATTCTAAGAAACTAGGTCAGACTTTTGCCTTCTCAAAAGGTGGCATATATTGAAACTATTAAAATAATGTTGGGAACATGGTTGCTGATAAATTTAGTAACATATTTTCTTGGTAGGTAAGACACAGAAATGATTTCTATTTCTGAATTGTAAAAAGAGGAAAGTAAAATATTTTCAAGGGATGGTTTTACTATTACCACTTAAAATCTAATACAGACCGTTCAGGACCAAAGGCCAATAAAATGAAATTAATGATCAATTTAAAGACCTTTTTTCCATTCACTATTATGAGCAGAACAGTGTTTTGGTATCTAGAACACTTCCTGGACCAAGTACTTAATAAATACCTGATGCCTTGAGAAATTTTACACTGCAAAGTAGTTAGATGGCAGAAAATGTTTTAATGAGACCGAAATTGTTCTCCACAAAGGCTAGTATAATCTTTAATTCTTTAATTACACTGACTTAAGTAGAGTTGGTCTAACTAGGAAGAGGGAAAAAGCTTTTATAGTCCTATAGGAACTATGTAACTATTTTCCCAAATTCTCAAAAACAGCTTTTTAAGATAAAATTCTTTGATGTTTTAGAAATAATCTCTATTTACATATTAATAAATGCAACTTTCTAGTTTGAACTTAATAATTTCTTATATATCTCTACTGAGAAAACTCACTTTTTGTTCCATTTCTTAAAAAAAAAAATTGTGGTACCTTTTACATACAATAAAATAAAACAAATCTTAGGTGTTTAGCTCTGAGCTGTGACAAATATACCCCAGTAGCCTCCACTGAAAATGTAAAAACATGCAAAATACTCCATCACCCAAGACAGTATTCTCCTATCCCTTTCTAGTCTATTTTCCCACCACTGATGTCTACAACCAAAGCTTTTTCACTCAACATAAAGTTTTTGAGATTCATCCAGTGGATTAGTAATTCATCCCTTTACTGCTAACCAGTATTCCACTCTGAATATACTGTAATTTGTTTATCCACTCTCCTGTTGGTAGATATTTTGGTTGCTTCCAGTTTGGGGCTATTAAAAATAAGGCTGCTATAAACATGCTTGCGGAAGTCTTCTTATGGACATAGGTTTTCAACCCTTTTCCACTTCTAAATTATTCGTTCAAAATTGGCCCTTTCTGGATAAACAGAGCTAATGCCTTTAAAGCTGTCAGCTCTGACATGTTTGTGCTACTCTGGAAAAGATACTGTCTTGAGATTCACTGCTTTATCTTTAGAGGCAAAACCGTTAAGTTTCAAAGAAGCAATCAGGGTCAAGGAGGGAAGAGCTACTATATTCAAAGTTTCATAGCAAGCTTTTAAATCTAGAAGTAAACTGCTCATGACTTTTGAATAGGAAGATTTTGTTCTATTTTAAACAGGGAAAGCTTTTTTAAAGGTCAAAGTATTAGAATAGACTACACTTCCAAAGGGCGGAATTATACAAATTTATCTTAAAAGACTCACTGTTAAACATGTGACCTAAACAAAAATAGATAAGTTGTTTCTGATAGATAAGGACTGTCTGTAAATACTGTATGGTGATTAAGGATCTCCAAGTGTTTACTAAGAATGCAGAGTCACCATGAGAGAACCAACTGCTTTAAAAAAAAAAACCACTAGATGAAAATAGGGAAGAAAAAACAGGCAATAACGTAAGCAGTAACTTTGTTCTAATTTACAGATAGAAAATGAAAACACTTTTGGTTTTCTAGACATTTTAAACATTTGCTGAAAAGTGATCTTCTAGGTTATTTCAACAAAAGTCTAAGTATGGATTCTATAAGTAGCTCAATCAAGACAGATAAATGTAATTAGCTATTACAATCTATTCTGAAGGGAAGACTCAGAGTGGAAATTGGTCAGTGAGAATTTTATTCCATGGTGCTCCAAAACAAATTCTGCAACTGTTATATTGTCGTTGTCCAGTATGAAAGAGACTACCTCATTTGTTCATAAAGCAGTTATTACAAACATGTTTCCTAATAAGCAATACAATAAGAACTAAAGTATAGACACATTGTAATGGAACTTAGGTGCATGTTTTTAAGATATTTATCAGAGTTGTCACTATTTCTGAGCATCAGTCCTCACTTTAAGAGGAAGTTACTCTGCTATTGATTTAAGGGAGAAAAGGTGTAGGCTGAGGTTCCTTAATGCCTTTAACAGGAAATAATATTTGTTGACAGTGGAGATTTTCAAGAAAAAAAAAAATGCTTCTAAAATCTAGGCACTCAATCAAATTATATACTTTCTATCTGTTCCAACCACACTCTATTTACAGAAAATTGAAACTAATATAAAACCAGCCACCATTGGAATCAACACACAAAATTCAGGTTATACCGGACGGGGGTAGGAGTAAGGGGACTTCTTTCTTTCCCATTAAAAACTTGGCAGTTAATTTGGGCAAATTATTAATATAAGTTGACAAGTGGGAAATAATGTCACAAAACAATCATATTCTTCTGACCTGGTATTACCATTTTGGTGAATACGTTCAAGGGTATAATTCAAAGGAGAAAAAAAACCCCTAACAAGTGGTATAGGGCTACTTAACCACTGATCGTTATGAATAAAATCTATATATGCACAAACATTCCAAATTTCCAGCTGCAGGGGAATGGTTAGGCCTACCGTGATGTTAGTCTAAAACAGGATTATATAGTTGTTAAAAAAGATAAGGAATATATTAAAATATGGAAAGTACTAAAGTAAAAGCAATGATAAAGGGAAAAAAAGTCAAAATTTTGTAGAACGGTAGAAAATCTATCAGAATAATAGGATCAAAAGAAGACTTTGATGTTTCTAAATACTTGAAACATTTTTTTCTCATTTTATGTTACTTTTATGCTGATTATGATGTTTAGATGTTTCTTTTAATGTTAATTATTCAATTACCATGCTTTCTATTCAATTACATGCTTCCTACTAAGCCATAATTCAAAGAATCTCTAGGTTTGGAATGTCATCTAATTTACCTCATCTAAATCTGTCTACTACCCGACTCTGCCTTTTTTTTTTTCTTTTTAAATACTATCCCTTCTTTAGGAATAGTATTATCTTAAAAAACAAAAAAACAACCAAACAGAAGCCTTCTGTGTGTTGGGGCTGAACTCTATCTCCAAATAATTTTCACTAATTTGGTCCTAGTTCTGTCTTTTGGTCTACACAGAATAAATCTATTCTTCTTCCACCAGTAAGCCTTCCAAATGCTATGTTTCATGTCAGCTACCATAGAACTCCAGAATGCTCCAGGCTAAGCAACCCTATTTATCTCAAAATTATCGTAATTCATGTTTCATTCCCTGACATTCAGGACCTATGAGTGCAAAGTTTGCCGAATCAATATGGTTTTCTCCCCCCTCACCATCCTAGTCTCAGTCTGACTGACAAATATCCCGCTTACAATGTAACACCCAAAACCCTACAAAATCTTCCAAGTGTTGACTGCATTATGGAAATTTTCGTCCTTTAGATGTAAAATCCTGAGTTGTGGGTTCTTTTTTTTTAAGAAGGGATCTTAAAAACAGAATGTTACATATATTCATTAAATTTCCTTATCTAACATTTGGTCCATCGTACTAGCCTTTGAACACCTTCTGGCTAACTTATCTTTCCTCAACTCAAGTTACCTTAACTACCTCCAGGCCCACAGTAATGGAGTTGATCTCAAATGCTCCCGGGGTAGCTCAAGTCTTCCCTATGGGAGTGGAGGTTAGTCTCCAATTTTGCTACCGAATAAAACTGCCATACACATATTGCGTGTATGGCTGTGTTTGTCTCCCGCCCCCCCCACCCCCAAACACTCACACGCTGTGGGTTAAACCCCGCTGAAAGCTGGGAATGCCTGATTCACAGCGCCTTAGATAACGATGACTTATCCTACTTTAAGATAAACAAGCACACTGCAGCGAGCGATGAGAGATGAAAGATATAGGCCCGCTACCAACTCAGCACTTTCTCTACAAAAACCTGGTCTCCCATCACGAAAGGACACGGAAGAGCCATTAGGACAAGGACGAGAGGAGGAATCACTTGCGCTCCACGGCGGCTGCGCCGGCGCGCGCCCCCACCCTCTGCGCACAGGGTCAGGGGGTAACGCGCCACACGCTAAGCCCCGCCCCGCCCCTTGGCCCGGGGAGGTTTAGACTACCCCCCACTCCCACCTTGGGCAACTTGCAAGCATGGGGACTGGTCGAAGGCGGGGATTACCTGTGAGCCGGGCAAACCCAGTAACGCTCTCGGGGACAGGGAGCCGCTTTAGATACGCCGGGAGCTGCACCTTCACGATGCGGGCCACGCTCTCCAGCACCATCCTTGCCAGCAGCGTCCACTCCCCTCCCAGCCCGCGCCGTTCTCCGGCCGAGCTCTCGCGCCTGCGCCGAGAGCGGAAGCGGCCAGCGGGCGTCGCGGCCTGGGTCCAGCGGCGGGCTGGAGGGGGCGGTGCTGGGGGCCGCCGGAGGAGACGTTGACCTGCTGGGCTCCGATTGGCAGCGGGCGAGTGACGTGCGCGCCCCGCGGACGCCAAGGGGGAGCGCGCGGCCGCGAGGTGCGGAGCAGCGGGAATGGATGAGTAGCGAGGCCTTCCGTGGATCTCGGTTTTGAAGAGGGCCTGCGTTCATGTTGGGCCTTTTACATCTGTAGACGCTCGAGGCCAACAGAAGGATACTGTGTCCGATGAGATAAAGCATGTGAGAGTGCTTTGTAACCGGAAAGTGCCTTTCAAAAGTGAGTTTCTCCTGGCGTCGCTTTTTTCTTCAGCTCCTCTCGTCCCGGCCCCTTCTTTCCGGAACCGGTCGGGTGCCATGGCCCTAGGATTGCATACTCACCAAGAGCACCCTTCGCAGTTACCCGGCGGTGCCTAACTCCGTTCCCTCACCCGTACAAGCCAGGTTTTTAAAAAAAGAAGTGAAAATACCTAAACGACTAACTGCTCAAAGCTAACTGCTCGGTAGTTTTGTGCAACCCTGAGTGTTTTGTTGGGTTTTTTTTGCTCCTTAGATATGACCCGTGATAGTCCTTTAGATACTTTCAGTTCCTTCTGCAGATCTTTTTTTTTTCAGTTAACTAAAACTAGGAAAGTGGTAAAAGAATAAAACCTTTCAAGTGACTTTTATGTTGTAGGATTTCTGCTACAAGCTAAAGTATCCGTGAAGATCTTTAAATTTAATTGTTTATTTTTTTTTAAAAATTGAAAGGAGACAGCTTCACTCCTTGCAGCGCTTTCCTTGACATGACTTTGTTTCCTATTTTTACTGAAGTGAAATATCCGAAGTAATGCGCTTGCTGATTGCATGTTGTGTATGTGGTGTGCCATCTTAATGCGGTGCCTCCTTACCGTTCTGAACTCCACCTGACCAGTAACCTACAATACCAACGAACTGCTCATGGTGCAGTATTTCATTTTGTGCGACTTAATGTAACAGCCAGTTGTAATAAATACGTTTTCTCTTTATTTTTCCCTGGGTATTTTCATTTTAAAGTGAGAAAGGGAAGACATTTTTTTAAAGTCCTTCTCTGGACTCAATATGTGATGGTTTTTCACTAAAAAAGGTAACCGTCAGTAAGAGAGTTAGTTGAAATCTAGATAAACCAATTTTCTATCATTTTACCCTGTTCAAAATACAATTACAATGGAAATTCAATGAAGATGTTTAGATACAGGTCATGAACCAGAGCAATATAGAAGGTTATATACAAAGTGATGATCAAAAGGTTGTTTACAGTAGGGTTTCTTTTAAATTTCCTTCTGGGAGCTTACTTTTGGTTTGGTGAAAGAAGGACCCTGAAGCTTATTATGAGTATGATATTCTCAGGTATCTTTGTCCTCTGGATTGTTCTTTTACAGGTTATCTTTAATCTCTGTGATCAGATGTAGAAGTACCCTTGGGGAGATGATTGATCTACGAGTGGGTTGGGAGTGAGGCAAATTAGGGGAAGAAAGGCTTGGCGATAGCCCCTAAATATTTGTTTCTTAGAGGCTTTGTAGCCTTGACAAGGGCAAAACGAGCTGTGTTGAGTGAGATTTTTAGGCTTGTAAGGTTTTTCTTTAAAGGAATTAAAAAGTAAATACTTCAGTTAAGAGATACAGCATAGTAAAATGTTCGAGAGCCAAAGGTACAATTTGATGTGATCTATATATATAGAATATATCCAATACCCGAGAGAGCTTCTTTGTGCCCCTTCCAACCATGTCCCCCTACAACCACCACCACCACTACTATTCTGTCTTGCTTTGCATGTTCTTGGGCTTCATATAAAAGGAATTCTACAGCATGTAGTTCTTTTGTGAATGGCTTTCCTGAGCAGTTTATGTGGATAGCTGGTTTGCTATTTCCAGGTAGAAGAAATGTACTGAGTGGGTTATCCACATATCTGTCTTATCTTTTATCTTTCTTCCTCTTTGTTTCTTTCTCTCTCTCTCTCATATCTTAAAATTTAGAGAAGATGCATTACACGAACTACATTAATGTATAAAAGGTGATAGTTTCCTAACTCCCCCAATAAAATTCTTTTTGTGTATTTTAGGGAATATTTTCTTTGATTCCTTTTACTTTAAAATTTAAATTTGTTTCATTCATATTTTTTATTTTTGCATTTCATTTCCACAGCCCTGCCTTCTTGGCAGTACAGGAAACAGAGGGGCTGAAAATAATATCCTACACAGAAGTGACAGGCTTATCTAACCACTTTCTGACATGGTGTCCTACAAAATCTGGTTTTATTAGTGTTTATTTTTTATATTTAGATGCCATCTTTAAAAGACATAAAGTGGCTTGGTCGTGAAGCGTCCGCCTTCAGCTCAGGTCATGATCCCAGAGTCCTGGGATCGGGCCCCATATCCGGCTCCTTGCTCAGCGGGAAGCCTGCTTCTCCCTCTCCCACTCCCCCTGCTTGTGTTCCTGCTCTCGCTCTGTCAAATAAAATCTTTAAAAAAATAAAGACATAAAGATATTTTATGGTTAGAAAAGGCCAGACAAAATAATATGTGAATAAAGCTGAAGGAGTTATTAGTGTTAAGAATTTGAATGAGGATCACTAAATCCTCTGCCTACAACTGTCCTAGCTAGACCCAAGTCTCTAATTTCTTAACGTTTCCTTCTATAAGCTCATTTAGTCCCATGAATTCAAATGTGATCCATAAGTTGATGTAGCCCAGATCTCTCCAGCCCAGATTTGTCTCTTTTTTTTAAAGATTTATTTGACAGCGAGAGAGGGAACACAAGCAGGGGGCGTGGGAGAGGGAGAAGCAGGCTTCCCGCGGAGCAGAGAGCACAATGTGGGGCTCAATCCCAGGACCCTGGGACCATGACCTGAGGCGAAGGCAGACACTTAACGACTGAGCCACCCAGGCGCCCCCCAGAGTTCTCTTGTACTGTAAATCCCAAATGCTCCAGGACATCTCCATGTATCTTTACACATTTTGCTAATGCTTTGCTCATCTTTTTCATTGATTTATGTTTTCTGGAAAATAATACCTTGTTGGTTATATTGGTTGCCTGTTTTCTTCCAGTCTAAGCCTTTTCTTTGACCTTTGTTTATGGTGTCTTTTCTAATACTGAAATTTAGTTTTAATGTAGTCAGATTTATCTTTTCCATTATATTTTGTACTCTGGGTATCTAAAGAAATCCTTTCCTACCTCAAATAAAGATTTTTATCTGTCTTTTTACTAAAAGTTTAAAGCTCTTATTCTTCACATTTAGGTTTTTAATCAACTTATTTTTGTGCATGAGATAGAGATCTAATTTTATTTTGTTTTATTTATATACGTACAATTGTTCTAGAAGCATTTATTGAATAGTTTAACTTAAATGTCGCCGATCTCAAAGCAGGTTCCCACACATCTGTGGGTAGTTTATTCTTTTCCATCAGTCAATTTGTAGGACTTTTGCGACATTAACACACTATTAAAATTGCTACAGCTTTATAGTAAGTTAATGCCCAGGAGGATATTAACAACAGTTAATATCCACATATTTTATTCGAAATTATCTTGGAAATGCCAGTTATAGATAACTGTATATGAATTTTAGAGTTATCTTGTTAAGATCCATTGCAAAAACTTAAAATTGAGTTTTATTGAAAATTTGTTAGAGCCTGTTTCTCCTCTAATATGCTGATATTAATGGTTGTTATGACTAGATATAATTAATAGTTTTCATGTGCTTAATGAATGGTTACTGTCATCTGTATCATCATCAACATCAATGAATGAGCCTTTACTTTGGCTTTGAGATCTTAAATTCAGAAATACTACCTTCTGACCACAACCTTGTATATCTCTTTATACACCTTCCACTCCCTTACTCCTATTGAACTTATTATTTGACTTTATCAAGATATTTAGTGTTGAAACCATCTTTTTCTAGTCTGTCAGCCCATTCCTGGATTTATTTACTTTTATCATTCCTTCAAATCTTCACTATTTTACATTATTTATTAAGCCTTCTAGTTGTCACTACTAGGCTTATTTTGAGCTTCAATGACCCTGAATTTTAGTTAACAGATAAGCTCCCCTCACCAGCATCTCTAAACGTGGCTGTAATTCCTCATATAATTAGCGTCTGCCCTACTCTCCAAGGCTTCTGCACCACATGTTCTAGAGCTCATCCTCCAAGACCTTGCTTCATCAGATATCTTCTCAAATTTTCATTTTTCTTGCTCTCTACTGGCCCCACAAACTGGTGATCTCCAGGCTTTTAGATTTCACCAATAAGTTTTTTAATTGAGATAATCAACATAGGTTTGCCAACTTTTTATTTTGTCAAGAAAAGATATTTAAAAGCTATAACGAACAACAACAAACTACTACCACCTACTATTGGAAGGTAGTATAACATAACAGTTAAGACCATGGACTTTGGAGCTAGGCTGTTTAGACTAGAATTCTGGCTCTGCCAAAATAAATTACGTGATCTGTAAGAATATAGATAATACCTACCTCTTTAGATTGTATTGCATATACTAATTCAGTGGATTAATACATAGAAAGCAGCTAAACCCACCTGACACATACACATGCACAGTTGTGTTATCTTCTGTTACTGTCATAATTATGTTTTTACATCACTGTTAGCACATCTTGTTTATTTTAGCTGCACTTGGTTTTTTACAGTGGCTGCTGTAGGGCTGAGTGGCTAGTGTGATGATAGTGCAGTGTGTCAGTGCAAATCACATGTGGCTCTTGGGGGTCTTATTAAGATTGCTGGAAATATAAAATGCTTAAGGGAACCCCATGCGGATTTCTGGACTTCTTCTGTGTATCTCCTTCTTCCCTTACTACACTCTACAAAGATAGCAAGTAGAGAGACAAAGCGTAGATTGTACAGGTTCGTAGAGAGAAAAAAACAGGTTTCGTATGATGCACACAAAGGTAAATGTATGGGACTTCTCAGTAGCAACTCTGGAAACAAAAGGATAA